ACCTGTGTTTTACACAGTATAGACATTGGCTAGATTTGGGTATAATTTATGAAAAATGGTTACATTTAAACAAAAAGTCATGAAATTATGAAAAATGGTTACATTTAATCAAAAATCATGAGATTATGAAAAATGGTTACATTAAAACAAAAACCACGAGATTATGAAAAATGGTTACATATAAGCAAAAATCATGAAGTTATTTTTAACATACAAGCAACATTGATAACTATACATTGTACAGCAAAAATATGAAAATGTTTAAAATTAGACAAAATTCATGAAGTAACTTTAAGCTTACTATTTTTAACATGCATGCAACACTATACATGGACAGAAAAAAGACATTCGTTAGAAATAGTAACTACATTGTACAGCATATGAAGACATTCTCTGAAAAATAAGCAGTAACTAGATCAATATTAGACTAGACATATGTACAGAAGTCTGAAAGAAAAATTTAAAAATTAAAAAAAAAAACACAATTCAAAGAAAATAACCATGAACAGCACTAATGCATCAAATGTCTGTACTTGAAGCCCTAATAAATAATATTATCATCCAAGGTGAATAAGGTCCGAAGCAGCATCCGCATACTCCATTATGTCGATGTTTCCAGTTTCCAGTCTCTGTTTTCAGACTGCAGTCCTGTCATCTTTGCCTTGCGCCAAATACACTGGGTGTAATGGAAGAAGCATCCCTTCATGACAATTCCCGGAAAAACATGTCGCATGGCGTTGTGGAAGGCAACTTCATAGTCGGCAAACGCAGTAGTTGGAGTCATTGGTAGGTCGCAGTCATTCATCGCTGTCTTCAGCAGGCTCAGGAAACGGATGTAGATCTCTTGGCTCTTTCCGGGGAGTAGGGCGTAAACCAAAGCAGTCATGGTTCCATCAACCTCTGCGTGGATGGTGTAGATTTGATAGTTCCATCACAGTATATCTTGTCCGAAGCAGCAAGGTCTGTCATATTCCCCGAGGTGGCGAAGGCAAGAATCCGGGCTTCATCTCCATCGTCAATCAGCAGAAAGTGCTCTCCGGTCAGGGTCTCAGTCCATCGTCCATCAAGGTTGATGTCATTAGTGGTCATGGGGAGCTTTGGTGTCATCTTACGTCTGGCTCTGTAGAGTGCTGATCTGGCTGAATTGAATGTAGGGATCCGTTCCACAACGGCACTTGTCTCGTCGTCCCATTCCTCATCTCGCAGCTTGGTTATCTCCTCCTGGTATATAGATGGTATTGGTCTGACTTCTCGTTGGCTTCGGTTCCTAACATAGGACATGATCTCCTTGGCGACGATGTTGGCATGGTTGGCAGGGTGGTTGTGGGGATGGTGTCCAAATCCTACCAGTATCCTGTTCCGGGTGTTTAGGGTGGCTGGGCAAGTAGAGATGGTACACCGCCAGTAGGTCCTGTAACAGAAAAAATAAACATGATAAATATATAAAATAAATATATGAATGTAGTTTATTTCTAAAGTTGACTAGACCATGAACTATTTTATTCATTGATATAAATTATTCTATAAAACATTTTTGGATATGAATAATACTTTTAAAATATAACTTATTTACCTTTCACCACGATTGTTTTTAACCCTATAAAGGTGACCATCATGTGCTGAGTTCTGACCACCCAGTCTGTTTTCAACAAACTTCAGGTTAATCTGAGCATTAGCCATTCTACAAGTGAAGATGTGTTGGGGGAAAAATCAGATGCAATCAATAAAGAAAGTGAAATCTGAGTGAAAAATTATTTGAAACGGCCTGGCTTTATACTACCATGTACCAGCTTGGTTACTCACCTCAAAGTTTCCTGTAGCAGTTGTATCACTCCTTTCTATTGAAGGTGAATACATACTCAAGGAGACAGCTTCCATACATGAAAGTGATCACGGTTCATAACGGGATAGTGAATATGTGATCAGAGTAGGTAATTAAAACAATACCTAGTCACTAGTAAGATTACTTTCAACTGCTCAAAATAAATAAGTTTGGATCATGGTTACTCACATATAATATTCGCATAGAAACATAAATCTTAATACATCTCTGATCTGATGTAGACTTTATTATCATGCACATAAAATTAAACATTTTGTGTATTAAAGACAGTAAAGACAGATACAAAAGTACAAAAATAAAATAAAAGTGTAAATTTATCAAAGTATTGGACATTTTGTGTATTACTACATAAAATAAATACATGTAATAAAAAGAAAAAAAATATAGATAGATATAAAATTAAAGGTGGGTAAAGGCTATCAACTATACAATGTATATCAGACTATCAACTGATCATTTTACAGGTAAATTTACCTGTTGGCACTGAGACCCCATTTAAGAAAAAGATTATAATCACTATCAAAACAAAACTGCCCTGAGGGACTTTCAAAATGTGGGCATTCAGAGATACACCCCCAGTGACAATCTGATCTCAGAATCCGATGACGCGGATTTACCATTCACATATGTCAGGTTGTGGACTTGCAATATCGCGTCGGTTCGAATAAATACTCTCCATTTGAGCTACTGTAAATTAAACCTAGAAAAAAAAGTATGGACGGTATCTGTACATCCTGGCTTTCTACCCATGCGGTGTTCACACGTTAGTTTTGAATCGATGTTCAAAGTTTTAGTTAATAATTCCAACCTTCCTAGAAAAGGTGTTGAGCAATTCAGGTTGATGGAAAGCTTTGGGAGACTTCAAGGAAAGTTTATAGACCTCACGAAAAAACAATCACGAGGATTTTTATTCTTGGAGTATACTAATATTTTTATATGTCATTAGATATCGCATTTAATAACTAAGTTGCGTTTCACAACAAATAACTGTTAAGATATCGGAAAACCGGTCAACATCCTCCTCTGTAACTTTTAATAATCCATATTTAAATGTATCGGCTCCCTCCTAACCGCTTGAGTTTCAAAATTGAGGTCCTTATCGTCAGTGACAACTCCTAGTAGGACGGAACAGCTGTATGTGAAAATTCATTCATAACCAGATATTCATATAATTCTAAACTTGAAATGCGATGTTCAGTTATGTGCATGTTGCGCAATCTTGAAGCAATTTGATAGAAACTCAGTGATAGAACGTATATTTATAGATTTACTGCACCATATAGTCGTCAGTGTAAGACCTTGATATTGTTCGATAAAGAGGTTCACAAAGGGAGGTAAATTCAATCGGTCATAAATTTTAAACTGCAAAGGACGAATATCTTATTGCAATTGAATCCGATAAGTTTGGATTTTGAGCACTCTTAAAACAATCGATTAGGGCGAAAGCAGAAGCGAAAACAAATTCAATATCTGTTGTATCATACCTTACCTACCTACTATCCTAAATGCCATCAACACATTTTAAAAAGCAGTAAATGTTTCATTATGTGAAAGTTTAAAAAATATTCGGAATTACGACCGCTTTCATAATTTCGTTTTGTAAATCACATGCTCTGATGTATAATCATACGTCTGTTTGTTGTTTTTCATCATGTATTTAGTTCCGTCAAAGTGAATATAAGCTGTAGTTTTGAACCGCTTGACCAGAAAGTGGTTGTAATCACTAAATGTTTACACACGGAATAGTCGGTGGTTCTTTGTTTTCGTGTTATTGAATTTTAAACCTCTGAAGACCTTAGAAAATGTAAAATTGTTTTCTAATGACTATTTTCATGTGCCGTGGCTGATTGTATTTGTATATAATTAACAACAAATCGAGATTTTGTAAACTGTTAATGAATGGTGGAATATTTGCATCTAGAAGAAAATATAGCCAGCATCTGTTGTCATTTCCAAACAAACCTACCGTTCAGCTTCATGTAAATAAATAATGACTATTGTTATGCATTGTGTTACAATTTAGTAATTTAACTTAATTGAAATGTCTAGTAACATTATTATTGAATCTGTATATTGTCCTCTTGTGATGCCTACACAATTTCATTTGGCAATCTGTAATTTTCATTCGTGTTTTAATTGTATTAACTTAATTAAAAATGCTTCAAAGACTGAGTTCGTTACATAATTAAGTCTGTGTTGTCTGTGTATATGCTGTGTGTATCTTAACTTCTCAAATCTGATAGTTTGCCATCCTGTATTTTTAATCTTGATGCATTATCATTTTTATTTATTACAACTTTCATCGTGCTACGTCAGAGCCTTTATCATGCCATTTAAGCATTCACGTTCTCAATAGCATCTTACCTGCATCTTAATGTAAGTGTTTATCGAACTGAAGCGAACGCTCATCAGTAAATTCAACCATTTACAGGGAAATATGAGGAACAGAAATATCTAAAGAGCAGTGACATATGATGACGATCCCGAGTTAAGTCGCCATCAGGGGATTCAGGTCAAACATTTTACATTCCACCTGCAGAGGTACAGGTGTGAAAAAAACAAATATTATATCAATATGTCAACAAAAGTTTAATTTCAACTCAAATTCGATGTAACTAGGACAAAATATAGACTAACGGCAACTTTACACTTAGACAGTACAAACACAAGGAGAATAAGACCAGGTGTTCCAGAAGGACAAGGGTAATCATTGACCACACCTGATATTTAAACCATGGTCAATCCAAATAAAAAATGCCAGGTTCTCAAATGAGAACGGTATACAACAACGGAACCACAAGGAACATTAACAAACATCAAACATGTCCCTCATCAATACAGCTAGGATTTGAAGTGGACATCATACGGTAGCAATGTTTTATTTTATTTTCTAACTCAAAAAAGAATAAACGCAATTTCCTTAACTAGCATCATTTTTATATCATGATTAAATTGATATCATATTGTTAATCATTTGTTTTATTTTTCCCTTTATATGCGACAAAAAGGCTTCATGTTCTTCAAAAACATCGGTAAACAAGAATTGCACTATACGTTCGTGGGGCATAAATTCCACGCATATACCAGTCCACAAACGTATGGTTAACTCCGCATAAATATAATATGTAGCATTGAAAACTTGACAGAAACAATGTTCTCAGTGTTGTGTTAATTTACATATCTCAATCTGAAAGACGCTTGGATCTTCTTCACACATCCTGGAAAAAACAGGGTATATTGTTAACTCTTCTAGCTAAGTTTAAAAGGACATTCTGTACAACTTGGCAAATGTCTGTTTCGTATCTCTTTAGAACGTTTTCTAACTACTTTAAAAATTACTGTCAACTTCAAAATATATGTCCTAATTAATAGGAAAGTGCAATTAGTTTGTCTATATATAGTACACTGGGGATTCCGGAATCCCTCCGCTGTCTGTACGTCTCATCATATGACTGTACGTCTCATTACATGAACATTAAAATTAGCCTGTCTAAACATAGCACACTGGGGATTCCGGAATCCCTCCATCGTCTGGATCATAGATTGTGTGCCAAGTATTAGGTAAATACCTAAGTCAAACAGTTCACAGTTACACCTATAATACCTACGTGGATCAAAGTTCTATCGGTTTGTTCGATTTATTTTTTGCCAATTAAAAAATATACACAATTATTTTATTGAAAACAAATCAGTAATGAATCAATCATGATCGCATTAATGTTTCTTAATCGATCTAACGTGATCTATTTACAATATTGATAAAATATAAAATTAAAAAAAATGTTTGTTAATTCCATACAATGTCTATAAAAGCGTGTCCATTCATGATGTGACTTTTTTTAAAATAAAAAGACAACTGATGAAACCCCAACTCGTGCTGAACATCCATCTAACATCTTCACTGCTTTGTTTGCAATTTACTACGATTTAGAATCAAATGAGATATTGACTTTGTCAGTATAACGATAGAACAGTCTTTAAATTGTCTGTTGGCGAATTTTCAATTTGCAATTCAATTATTCTTACGTCCAAATAGATATAATAGTTATTTCATAAACTAAAATAACATTTTTTCGTTACACTCATATCTTGTGTTTTTTTCCCTTTCAATAATTTGTTATCTCTCGGCAATTTCATTTCATTGATATATATACCAATATTAGCAGTTCGTGAACGTTAGGATTTGTGGATTAAGTTCGAAGATAAAGCGTGGCCAGGAAATCCAAATTAAAACAAATCCTCCAGGAAAATTGATGATTTATACACAGCTTTCAAGGTACTTTAAATTTGATTTGTACCATTATCATAAACGTACATATTGTAGTGATAATATTCTTTCTGCCCTGAAAGTACATGTATCCCGCTAACATATGATCGCACTTATTGACACCTCTGTATATGGTTTGAGCTTACGTTATGTATTTATACCGAGATGGAATCAAATGTCAGATTAAGTACGTTTACAGTACATTTCCATTGGAATTCCATCAAACATTTTTTCTTTCCTCTGTCAAACTGAACATTATATTTGCCTTACATAGCAATATGTAGAAGACGTCTGAATATTTTTTCGTGGAACTCTTTCATAAAAGATTTTTCGTCTCGCAATGCGTTAATATATATTTGATACGATATTCTTACCCGTAGCTATATTTGCCAACCAGGGCGTAGCCTTCCTGAATATCAAACTCAAACCCGATCTTAAATGAGTATAAAACCTTGGGTATGAAACAATCTGTAAGACAGACACCTGTAAAAACACAAATGTTTACAAACAATTAATTCAAACTCTCTATAAATCCAACTAGACACATTTCAAAAAGTGAGATGGAGAGGAAAATCAGGTGTCTAGGAAGGATAAGCGTCCTCCTATTTCTTAATGACATCAGCCCTGTACACCTTGGTAAATCGAGTAAGTTATGTCGCATTCTAACGAAGTAGACCTTGAGACATAGACATGAGAAGGGGTTTAATAAATGTTGACATTTCAGTCGATTAATTTCATTTGTTTAAGTGCCCTTCTAGGTTTGAATATAGCCTTGCCATCACTGACGAATACTAGGAGAAATTTCAATAAAAATGTTTCTTATTCGCTTGAATATATTTTGTACAATCTTCTTCGCCTTACTGTCATTACACACCATAACATCACAAGGGAAATTATATAACTAAGAAACCTAAAGTTAACAATAGGACACCCACTGTATAACAACTTATATACTGGACACTTATAATATCCGTAATAAGATAAAAGAAACAAAAACGGTTTTACTCCAGAATATAGAACACTGCCAATTAGACCGTTATACTACCCTATAGTAAATTCAACAACTGCAATATAAAATTAAATCATATTGATACTCTAATACGTCTCATCACATGACCGGAGTCTCATCACATGACTGTACGTCTCATCACATGACTGTACGTCTCATCACATGACTGTACGTCTGATCACATGACTGTACGTCTCATCACATGGATGTACGTCTCATCACATGACCGGAGTCTATTCACATGACTGTACGTCTCATCACATGACTGTACGTCTAATCACATGACTGTACGTCTCATCACATGGATGTACGTCTCATCACATGACCGGAGTCTCATCACATGACCGGAGACCCATCACATGACTGTACGTCTCATCACATGACTGTACGTCTAATCACATGACCGGAGTCTCATCACATGACTGTACGTCTCATCACATGACTGTACGTCTCATCACATGGCTGTACGTCTCATCACATGACCGGAGTCTCATCACATGACCGGAGACCCATCACATGGCCGGAGTCTCATCACATGACTGTATGTCTCATCACATGGCTGTACGTCTCACCACATGGCTGTACGTCTCATCATATGGATGTACGTCTCATCACATGACCGGAGTCTCATCACATGACTGTATGTCTTACACATGGCCGGAGTCTCATCACATGACCGGAGTCTCATCACATGGCTGTACGTCTCAACACACGGCCGTACGCCTAAACACATGGCCGTACGCCTAAACACATGAGTACGTCTCATCACATGACTGTATGTCTCATCACATGACTGTCCTAACCTAGCTCAAACAACTTCATTTTCAAGACCTATCTTTTACTGATTATACGGGTCGGCATATGATATCTTCTGCCAAGCAATATAACTCACCTTTGAGCTTACAGCAGACGGGGCGCTGTTTATCCCTGCCTACCAAAGCGTGATTCGGGGGACACCTGAATGATTGTGATCGTTTGTCATCATCTATTGTTGAAACCAAACAGAATTATTAAGTAGTATCTTGATAGTTGACCACAAATTAACTTTCTTTTTAACAGAGATTCCGACATAATAATGAAAAGTCATATTAAATGGTGTGTTGTTTGTTCAATTCGATAACATTAACCTCTGTGAAAGCCGGTAGCATCTTTAAGATTCTAATAATAATGAGATTCTTAACGGCCCGTCAACACATAAAAGGTCATTAAAGTCATCAAATGGTAAAACACACAGCGATCCAAAAAGGAAATAACATCAAACAAACTAAGAGGTAAAAGACAGATGCTAAAAATCTTAAATGGTTATATAATCACAAAAGATTAAAATTGTAAGTCATAGTCTATAGTACAGACTAACATCTTTCAGCTAACCTAGAATTGTATTAATCAGTTTATTAAACAGTTTCAAAAAGAGTCTAGACATATAAATTTCTCGAGTAAACAGAAGGTCAATGCACTCCAATAAAAAATGTTTAACGGTGAATGGCTCATCACATCCTATGCACCATCTTGGCCTTTGAACCTATAGGAATGCGTAAGGTATGCATGGCCCATCCGAAGACGGGCAAGGACAACTTCGTCTCGTCTTCGTACCATGGCAATTTACGTTAAAATATTGATTTCATTCTTCATGCCTCTGAGCTATTAAAAATTGTTTGTTAAATGGTTTAAAATCGGTAAAATGAATTTTAAAAACAACAGGTGGTAGCAATAAAGCTTCCGTTGCGGCACGATCTGCTTTTTCATTGCCTGGTATTCCCAGGAACCCAGCAAAAAGCAATACGAAAGTTAAAGGCAAATTAATGATATAGTATTAATGTATTTGATATTTCTATTGCAAAGACTTTGTAGAACAGAAAGAGAGTCTGAATGGATAACAGCTCTAATTACTGTGTTTCTTTGAATATATTCAATGGCGAGGTAGATAGCTCGCACTTCTGCCGAGAATATTGAGGCGTTGTTTGGTAGCCTGCTTCCATACGCTTCAACCCGTGAAAATATGACCTCGGCAACCTTATCATTATCTTTTGAACCATCAGTACATAAATGTAGAAATGTTTTATATTTTAACAGCAATTTCAACTTACGATGTCTTCTCCCTATTTGCTTCAGTGTTACTCCTGACAAAACACCATCGTTACTATGTTATGTTTTATATTATTGATAATTTTCATTTTAACTACTTTTGACATCCATCAGTTAAAATTTTACCCCATACCGTCAGAGAGATGATATATTTAAACAATGAATTTGCTATACACTACATAGGGGGACTATAATTAACACTAGTGTTTACTTACCTAACAGTACACACTCGCCGTCTGGCATTGCCGATTCTTTACACGACAGCTGGAATTCACCGACGGCCGGGTCAAAAACGCTGTGTGACGGAACGGTACCTCTTGGGCAGTTTTCATAAAGCACTGGACACGAGCTATGTATTGGCAAACTGAAGCATGTCGAAAAAATACACACAATTATTTTTATGAAACAGTTCTAGAATTACATTACCTTACCTTGTGACATTCGTAACGGCCCGTCAACACATAAAAGGTCATTAGGCCATCAAACGGTAAAACACACAGCGATCCAAAAGGAAATAACATTGAAAAAAAAACAAAAAGTAAAAGACAAATGCTAAAAATCTTAAATGGGTATGTTAACACAAAATATTAGAATGGTACGTCATAGTCTATTTTATAAACCAACATCTTTCAGGTAACATAGATGTTTATTAATCTCAACAGTTTCAAAAAGTGGTTTTAGACTGATAATATTACGATAAAAGCATTCTCGAGTAGACAGAAGGTCAATGCAGTCCAATAAAAGTGTTTAACGGTGAATGGCTCATTAGATCCTATGCACCGAGAGTTGTCTTCGCCTTTCAACATATATGAATGTGTAATTTATGTATGGCCCATCCGAAGACGGGCAAGGACAGCTTCATCTCGGTGGTTGTCTCTACAGCCAGGTGACCATTCACTGATGATAGGTTAGATAAATAAGATTCAAAATATCATTAAAAGCTTTCATCATGAGGCGCCTAATGTTTGAAATTCTTCAGGCTGATAAGGAAAGATATGAGTAGAAGCGGAGGACGGCGGTTAAGCAGCCAAATGTTTGAAAATTACGTTATTTATTTCCAAATGTCCTACTAAACGTATTTAGAATCTGTAACATTATCGATAATTAATTTTAGATATCGATTTTGATTTAATATATCAATAGTGTATTTATTTGGTATATACGACAATTACACGATTATGGAATAATACATTCTCATATTGAACGAATTTTTGGGTATCACCACTATAACACTGAATCGAGAGGTATGATCCCATGTAATTTAAAACACTACAATTACGCAAAGGCACAGAACATCGCTGGAATGGGGTGTCATGCCGCAGTCTACTCCTACTCGATAGCACTAAAACGTCGGCTGTAGTTCCGCTTATCTCAACGTGGCTTGCACAATTATATCACAGCCTAGCAAACACCAGGAGGCCGTCCTTAATTGACTTCAACGATTGATAGGACGCTAAGTCATATTAAATGAAACAAATGCTGTCCAGTTCAAGTTGTCCACATATCAATGTTTGTTTGCAAATAATAGAATATAAGTTGAAAATCGCTAAACCCGAAACCCCTGAAAAGCTACTGGGAAAATTTAAATCTGTGGTCAGGAATTATTAAGATGCGTGGTGTTTTCATGAATATTAGAATTCAACATATCGATATTTAGTTTTGATCACTTTGATCACTAGATTATCCCCAGTCGCCTCCTAGGCCTCAAACTTTCGACCCTTCGCAACACTGACGAGTCCTAGAAGGACAAAACAGCTGTATGATACTTTGTTGAGCTCCGCTGTAGCTAATACTAGTTTGCATTGAAGGGTGTCTTCTCTTTGTGTCGTTTGTACAATATAATATAAATTTAAACATTCACGTGAACGGCCAAAATGTTATTGCATGCGACAAAATATCAATATTATACATACAAGACTAAATTTATGCATCACAACTTCTTTATTTCGTAGAATTTACAAAAATAATTAACTGTAGACTTTGTACTTTATCCCTGCATTACACCTTAAGCGTTTTTCATTTTCATAACTCATGACAAATCAGCCAAATATCATTCCTTGAACAAAATTTGTACGCAATATTTTTTCTATTAATATATTATTAGTTTTCTTGTTGGTTCCGTTATTGTATATCTTGCTCGTATTTGAGAACGTGACATTACTTACTTGGATTGACCAAGGTTTATATGGTGGGTGTCATCGATGAAGCAAAAGACGTTTACTCTCCCGGAACACCTGGTCTTATATCCCTAGTACTTTTCAGGATTCTCTGGTTAATCTTTCTTTTGATTCTATTACGCCTTTGTCTTAATTTAGTTTTTCTTGTTTTTATACTGAAATTAATCTAAACGTTTGTTGTTACTATACGAAAACTCAATGTCTACTTAAACACGATTAGTTAGATTAATTAGTTGGAAATAGTATTCGCTATCATTACACAATGTACTTCGAAATACTTACGCATCGACTGGCGTTGATTTGACAGTGGAACTTGTGATCACAGCTGAAATAAACCATAATCGGGATGTCAGAGTAACCGCCATTATCCTTTCTGTATCACTTTTTATATTAACTTCGATCGCTTTCGTTGAAGAGTTTACCTTCACGGAATTATAGGTCGTCGCCTTGTGGGCGTAACCAACAAAATATTCAAATTGGATCAACATATTCTTTCCCGTGTCAAACGTACATTAATATTCACTGCCTTGTAACAGTTATTCAAGTGCATTTAATCTGTTTCATACCATACACTGTATCAATACTTTCAAACAACTAAGTACCGTTCATATTATCATTAAGGAATGGGTCGATTTTAAGTCAATAACAACGAGACATAAAACGTGAGACCATATTTGGATTTATACTCGTGATACAGTTTGTTCCCATGCAAAAAGTCTGTTGGAAGTAAAACATCCGCATACAATTAAGTCCACTTTTTATCTAAACAGTATGACAGTAAAACTGCAACCCTGATTTCATAGTTCTTAAAATGATAGTAAGAAGTAATGATAATTATTTGGGTTTAATCAATGGACGAGCCAACAATAAAACGCTGTTTGTATGGATGCTTGCGAAGTTTGGGAATCCAATATAAACGAGAGAGGTCCGTATCTTTTTCAGCTATAGGAATTCTATTCAAAAAGTCAAAAAGAATGTGAGTGCAAAAAGAATGTGAAAATGCAAATTGAAAATTAAAAAAGTATTATATGAAATAAATGTCAAAAGTTGTACAATTGACACAGAAGTGAAAAGCAGTTTTGAATATAGATTTAGAATTAGATACAGCATCGCAAAAGCAAATATGCGAAATTTTACCATACAGCTGTTTCATCGTTTTAAGATTCGTTATGATGACTAAATCATGACTAAATCATGAAACATATGTAAAAATGCTCTAATTTCATAATTTTATTAATTTGGTAAATTTGATCAGTTTGGATTTGTTATTGTTGGACGGATCTTATATTTCATACCAATGTCGAGCTTATTAACCGAAGGATAACCACAACGTGAAGGGGATATGCTAATTTCAGTCCTCGCGGCAAACTATGCAGTGTTAGCAGCCGGATTAGAACATCTGGTCTATGTACACTCTCTGAGGCGACTAATGGTATTCCATGATAAACATGGAGAAAACGTCAGTCTACAATTTTTGTTAACATCTGCTGACTTCTTAATGTTTCCGTAAGGTCAAAGTTGTGGATGCCCTACAACGAAGTTGTTATATTATAAGTAACAAAACGATCAGCTGTCTCTGCTTTTACTTATTGGACCTTTAACGGTGAAGTCATCCACAAAAAAACACGACATTTTTGAGTATCTATCGTCTTAATACTTGTTACCAACTAGTGCAGTGAAATTAAGCAGCACACAGATTAATCATGCCATTCGAGTACACATTGGATGGATCATTCCATTTTCACTGTGAGCTGAGGAGGTTTTTACCACTTGAACAAACATATTTAGGTAACAAAAGACCCAAAGACCCAAACGAATATCGAATTGCTTACACGATATTCAATCTCTTTTTAAAAAAAACACACAATTATATATTAAGGTTTTATTTTTCTAATGAAGACGGATTTGACCCATGTGACCTTAATTTGGGGTAAATATGTGATCTTGATCTCTGTGGCATTGTTTATGTGTGAAGGTAATTTCGTTTTATCAACTTTGATGACTTTCACAAAAATATACGAGCCAAAAACAATATTTTTAGTTTTAATAAGATAAGACGATTGCGTGTTCAAACAGCTTTGACTGCTGAGAATATAAAGATTTTTTTTTAACAAATTAAATTTGATTTTCATGGTTCAGCCTTATCTGTCATATTCCTATACTCTAGGTCCCGAGTATTAGTAACGAGTCTTTTCTGTACTTTTTTTTCATTTTCATTGGATCTCTTGTCCTTTCGTAAAAAACACGTGATGGTCATACTTATCCAATATGTATTCCAATTAACTATGATATAACCAGTTATTATTCCCTGGTGCGACTTTTCTGTAGATGGTTTTTTTGCACAAAGAAATCCACCAGACCACAAGAAGAGAAAGAAAATGCAAAATTGTGATCTATTTTCTATTAATGGCAATTACATTTAATTTTCCTCGTGAAATCGATAATGGTATAGGTATAACACAGAGGTCCAATGATATCGACTTTGACAGAGATGGCAAGCTCTTCGAATGATCCCTGTGAGATGTGAAACTATAACGCTATGTTTCATATCTATATAACAACGTCTGTGATTTAATGACTAACACAACTACAAACAGAATTTGGGTCGTGTCTGCTTAATAAGAACAATTGTAAAGTTTTCCACGAATGAGTCCAGTATAATTTCTGGGTAGGGGTGTATAGGCACAATTACCTCACCATATCACACATTTAATCAGTGTAGTTATATACAGATAAGACGGGTATGGTGTTACCTGTATCTAGTATAGCATGATAAGGTTGTAAATATGCCGACAGACACATGTTTAGCACGAGTATGTTTGTCTGACAGATTTTATTTACCAACTTTCTATGTTTAATGTACATTGTTCATCAGATAGGAAACACTATCTAATGTCATACAACGATTATGATATAGATATGAGCTAGAAAATGGGATGAAACAATCGGATCAGGTTGTAGGTCTACAAACATTGCTCATTAACACAGAATTTTCAGAAAAATTTTTCTTTGTTAAAATGAAAAATTTTTCTCGTTATATTTTCTCGTTTATGGACATTGCCGAAAATGTCCGATCGGGGTAAAATAGGATCATTAATAACATACATTGCCTTCTTATAGGAATATCTTATAGACCATCACCTGAACGGGAACACTCCACAAACAACACAAAAACTCCCGCCATGCCGTCAGGCGCCAATTTCCACGAAGAGCTGTTTCTGTGCGCCTCCTTGTTGATATAACTTCAGGAATGACCTCCGTGTATTCTCCTGTCGTTCTGAAAAACACAAAACAGTCCTTCACAAGTTTTTGCTGTAACGAAGCAGTCCCAGTATCCCTGGCTTCTAACCGTTTCCTTAGGTATTCCTCCTTAAGGACTCGACCAACTGATAATTTGGTAAAGATTCGGCAGGGGAGGAAAGGGTATGGATTTCTAAAGAGTGACTTCAATCTTTCCATCGACTGCACACACTGGCCTATTTATAAATTGGTCCGCTTGCTTATGAGACTCGAGCCTCACAGTCAGGGTCTCAGCATGGGTTATGGTTTGTAACTGAGTTTCCCGCAAGCGTAAATGGATGTCCGGGTCGACAATGGCATCTAGGAAGATATTAACAAATAGAGTTTCTAGACTGCTGTGCCCTTGGGTACGTTTGACTGTTAACTGGAGTGGGGTATGTAACCCTGGTAAAATACTAGCCTCAATATACCACTCGGCTAGAGAGAAGTTCTCTTTAGCTCGTTTGGTTGATCGTCAGACTAGTAAGCCAAGGGTCCCGGGTTCGATTCCTAGCGGAGGAAGTGAGATGAAAAATGACCTCTGTCATATTGGCGCCCATGCATGGATCCGGGAATAGTACTTAGCCATGCCCACCAGCATCGCTGTAATCCCTGGAAACTTGAGAACGAGTTAATTCCTGGAGAGGGAGTATGTAACCCTGGTAAAATACTAGTCGCAATATACCGCTCGGCTATCGAAAGTTTGATTGGTTGAGCGTCAGACTAGTAATCCAGGGGTCCCGGGTTCGATTCCTATCGGAGGCATTTTTCATTACCTCGAGGGTCTAACCATGCTGTATTATGAACATTCTACTTTTAACCGTGACATTACCTGTTGATTTTCACTCTACATATGTTTACGTCCGACAATCTCTCTACAGTCACATATATCTGGGAAGATGGCGGTCACCATGCCGTTTTAGTTTTTGGCGATGAAATTTATATAACACACACACACACCTGAAAATATCTTGAACCTTTACAAAACGATAAGTTACAGCAGGTGTTCCGTGTGTAACGTAGAGAAAGAAAGATAACTCTTGTTACAACTCTCCTATACTGGAGGTAGACAAAAATACCGGCTATGAAAACGAACAAAACAGCATAAAACCGGACAACACACATTGAATTTGAACGAACAAGTGAGTGGAAATCATGAGATGGAAAATATTGACAGGTTCTGGTGTGCTCAGTGCGGCCATCTGTAGCTGTACCGCTAAAACGTTGCTGGCTGCAACTGATCCCAACGTCCGTGAAGATGTATCACCTAGTCAGACTACGGAACATACGTTGACATTGAAACAAGCACAGGTCTTCTTCAGACACGGAGCTCGAACAACTATACACACCATCCCCAAGTTAAAGGAGGTAATTTGATTTTCGTGGATTGATAAATTATTTTTCTGAATTTTTTTCTTTATTGTCGTGTAAAATTCAGGCTTATAAATATAGATGTTCACAGAACGGTTCTGTGTTACTTTCTGACTATAAAGATCCGTTATGGTGTATCTGTTCTTTCGAGCTATACTTCCTGTAGGCTTTTAGAGATCAAGACATGAAATGTATATTGTTGTGTATTGAATCAGCCGCGAGAGATACGGAAGTAGGACAATTTCTTCTTGTGAAACTAACTTAATCGTCTAAATATATAACGTATCAGCATTGTTAGCTTAAAGGCTTCTATGTTACACAACGTGATAAACTGTGACGGTATTAATGTAGCAGTCACATGATTAATAGTCAGTGTTATTTCATGGATTTCTTTATCTCACAATTGCAACCAGTTAAGGAATCTATATGTGAGGTTTTGATGACTACACTGTCACCATCATCAGACAAATGGCAATTATGAAACATCTTTACTCTGAGTTAAACTGTTTACAAGATGGTAATAAAATCACACGACTTTTCAGCTGTAGTATAATCTTATCTACAGCAGGGACGAATAATACGTCCCAGTCTACAGTAACAGGTTTGACATTGAAAACAGTTGGAATTCATGGTATTCCATATCTATACATTCCATGGTAACTATGTACTATCCCATAAAAGCCAATTTTGCAATACTTTATTAAAATCAGGATATCCTGCAGCATGATATCCCCAACCCACCTGATAGAGTCAGGTCAAACTGATATTGGTCCTAAAGTAAGATATCTTGCACACGTAATAAGCTGAGTTTTGGAGAAAGTTTTCTCTTTCTTTTTTTTGGAAGGAGGTAGACAGGATGGTTTCCCATTTGTTATATATATATTCATGATGGAGAACTTGTAAAAACAGAAGGGGAAACATGCTGCATACCCTTTGTGTGTAGTAAAATTAATCTAGATTGATCCTTGCAAAGCTATGTTCAAACATGACATAGAATATCTTCTAAATACCTACAGATGTGACAACTAAACAATAGAATTGATTATAATGTCTTCATTCTTGAGGACTCTTCAAAACAACACCTCGCCATTGATTTTGAAAGCCATGACCAGATATTATTTTGACAAAGGTCAACAACACTGCTAGCAGGTGGTGCCTGTACATGACAGGGACAAGGGAATGTATAGAGTTACAAAATCTATTACCAAGTTTTAAAAAAAGTATAGTTGACGCACATAATTTTCTAACTGGTTGTGATATAAGAACTGCTATTGAACATGCATAACCAACCTGAAGCCAATGTTCCAATAAGTGAAAGTCAATTCCCCTGGCAGTCGTGGAACACTAGCCTACACTGTAAGACTATTTCCTGACAGCCACATAATGCTAGCCTACACTGTAAGACTATTTTCCTGACAGCCACATAATGCTAGTCTACACTGTAAGACTGTTTACCTGACAGCCACATAATGCTAGCCTACACTGTAAGACTATTTTCCTGACAGCCACATAATGCTTGTCTACACTGTAAGACTATTTTCCTGATAGCCACATAATGCTAGTCTACACTGTAGGACTGTTTACCTGACAGCCACATAATGCTAGCCTACACTGTAAGACTGTTTACCTGACAGCCACATAATGCTAGTCTACACTGTAAGACTGTTTACCTGACAGCCACATAATGCTAGCCTACACTGTAAGACTGTTTACCTGACAGCCACATAATGCTAGTCTACACTGTAAGACTGTTTCCTGACAGCCACATAAAGTCCACACTGTAAGACTGTTTACCTGACAGCCACATAATGCTAGTCTACACTGTAAGACTGTTTACCTGACAGCCACATAATGCTAGTCTACACTGTAAGACTGTTTCCTGACAGCCACATAATGCTAGTCTACACTGTAAGACTGTTTCCTGACAGCCACATAATGCTAGTCTACACTGTAAGACTGTTTCCTGACAGCCACATAATGCTAGTCTACACTGTAAGACTGTTTACCTGACAGCCACATAACTAGCCACATACTGTTTACCTGACAGCCACATAATGCTAGTCTACACTGTAAGACTATTTTCCTGACAGCCACATAATGCTAGCCTACACTGTAAGACTGTTTTCCTGACAGCCACATAATGCTAGCCTACACTGTAAGACTATTTTCCTGACAGCCACATAATGCTAGCCTACACTGTAAGACTATTTACCTGACAGCCACATAATGCTAGTCTACACTGTAAGACTGTTTACCTGACAGCCACATAATGCTAGTCTACACTGTAAGACTATTTTCCTGACAGCCACATAATGCTAGTCTACACTGTAAGACTGTTTACCTGACAGCCACATAATGCTAGTCTACACTGTAAGACTGTTTACCTGACAGCCACATAATGCTTGTCTACACTGTAGGACTGTTTACCTGACAGCCACATAATGCTAGTCTACACTGTAAGACTGTTTACCTGACAGCCACATAATGCTAGTCTACACTGTAAGACTATTTTCCTGACAGCCACATAATGCTAGCCTACACTGTAAGACTGTTTACCTGACAGCCACATAATGCTAGTCTACACTGTAAGACTGTTTCTGACAGCCACATAATGTAAGACTATTTTCTGACAGCCACATAATGCTAGCCTACACTGTAAGACTGTTTACCTGGCAGCCACATAATGCTAGTCTACACTGTAGGACTGTTTTCCTGACAGCCACATAATGCTAGTCTACACTGTAAGACTATTTTCCTGACAGCCACATAATGCTAGTCTACACTGTAAGACTATTTTCCTGACAGCCACATAATGCCAGCCTACACTGTAAGACTGTTTACCTGACAGCCACATAATGCCAGCCTACACTGTAAGACTGTTTTCCTGACAGCCACATAATGCTAGTCTACATTGTAAGACTATTTTCCTGACAGCCACATAATGCCAGCCTACACTGTAAGACTGTTTACCTGACAGCCACATAATGCTAGCCTACACTGTAAGACTGTTTACCTGACAGCCACATAATGCTAGTCTGCACTGTAAGACTATTTTCCTGACAGCCACATAATGCTAGTCTACACTGTAGGACTGTTTACCTGACAGCCACATAATGCTAGTCTACACTGTAAGACTGTTTACCTGACAGCCACATAATGCTAGTCCACACTGTAAGACTGTTTACCTGACAGCCACATAATGCTAGCCTACACTGTAAGACTATTTTCTGACAGCCACATAATGCTAGTCCACACTGTAAGACTGTTTACCTGACAGCCACATAATGCTTGTCTACACTGTAGGACTATTTCCTGACAGCCACATAATGCTAGCCTACACTGTAAGACTATTTCCTGACAGCCACATAATGTAAGACTATTTTCTTTACAGCTGGACGATGGACGAATCAATATTTCAAAACAACCCATACTAGCAGTTGAGAATAGAGAGTACCATCAAAGAATCTTGATGAGACCAAATAAACTGCCTATAAAATAATAAATAGTTCCAAATTATACTTACCTCATTTTTAGAAATGCTGCTTGGTGGTCCTAAATTTCTTGTTTTACATAATATATGTATGTAATTTGAATGTTAAGGGTGAGTGCAACTTTGAGACAATAGTCATTCCCTTATTTTTTTATTGATGGTCTAACTGATATTTCCATTTTTTCCTAACACCTCACTTAGTGATACTGTACTTGAAACCTTTTATTTTACACTGCAGCAAACTTGGATTCCCAAAGAAATCCCTCATGGTTTCTCTAGTAACTCAATACTTTAACATGTCCTTCATGGCTCCTCTGTTGACTCAATATTTTAACATGTCCTTCATGGCTCCTCTGTTGACTCAATATTTTAACATGTCCTTCATGGCTCCTCTGTTGACTCAATATTTTAACATGCCCTTCATGGCAGCTCTGTTGACTCAATATTTTAACATGCCCTTCATGGCAGCTCTGTTGACTCAATATTTTAACATGTCCTTCATGGCTGCTCTGTTGACTCAATACTTTTTATGTCCTTCATGGCTGCTCTGTTGACTCAATACTTTTTATGTTCTTCATGGCTGCTCTGGTGACTCAATACTTTTTATGTCCTTCATGGGTGCTCTGTTGACTCAACATTTTTCACGTCCTTCATGACTGCTCTGTTGACTCAATATTTTTCATGTCCTTCGTGGCTGCTCAGATGACTCAATATTTTTCATGTTATTATGCTAATCCTGGTTGCCTAGATGACTGCTAAGTTTATAGTAACATTCTTTCAACCAACAAATCTGCAGTTTTTGATGTCCAGATAGGATAAGGAAATCAGTAATTTGTTTCGCAAATATTGGATACCAGGGTAGCCTGGTGGAAATATTTTGTCCTTTGTTGTCGTTCTTATTTCAATTATTCAAAATTGTACTCTGCTGAATTTCATTCAGACAGAACCATTACTTACATATTAACTGTTATGTTACAGGCTTGCTATGATGAAAGGGTTCTTCGGCATCAACTTCCACACACCATGTTTGACCTGGACATGGTTGACCTTGAAACAGGAGGACCTAAGCAAAACTCCAAACTTGATGAGCACTATGCGAAAAAGAAATTATGGGTAAATAAATAATTATCTACCAGGGAAAACTTTCTTAAGGTAGCTAGCAGGACATATCTCCTTACATAATGGTAAAGTCAGGTAACATTTGTTTTAAACTTTTACAAACTACATTATATTAAAAAGCAGACTTGGTTTCTGTTAAATTCAAAGTTTATTTTGAAAATATTTTTGTTGATTATAATTTTGTCTACATTTATAACATGGTACTAAACAACAAATAAAGTTGATATTTAAATCATAGATTTAGACTATATTTAAAACATGATGCCTTCCTATTTTCAAATTTGTTGATATTTAAAACATGGTATGGTCTCTTCGTCTAGTCACATTATAACATATGGAGTTATTGGTCCGTCATTTAATATCTGGAAGCTATGCAGAGTGTTGTATTAAATGATATGAATCAATTTATTTACTAGGGAGGATGTGAAGCAGGACAGCTAACCACTCTAGGACAACAGCAGTGTTTCACACTGGGATTAAACCTCAGGGACGAATACATATACAAAGCAAAGCTCATCTCCGAAGATTATGATCCTAGCACAGTGTTGTAGGTTATTTTATTTATTTGTTAAACAGGTTTCACGGTGTTTCAGCGGACGAAAAAAGATAGGAAAACAAGTAGAGAGGGAAAAGCAGGAAGTGATGGAACAGAGTGGGATATAGAGATACAGAGAAAGGGGCTGATGGGAGAGAGTGGGATATAGAGATACAGAGAAAGGGGCTGATGGGAGAGAGTGGGATATAGAGATACAGAGAAAGGGGCTGATGGGAGAGAGTGGGATATAGAGATACAGAGAAAGGGGCTGATGGGACAGTGGGATATAGAGATACAGAGAAAGGGGCTGATGGGAGAGAGTGGGATATAGAGATACAGAGAAAGCAGCTGATGGGACAGTGGGATATAGAGATACAGAGAAAGGGGCTGATGGGACAGTGGGATATAGAGATACAGAGAAAGGGGCTGATGGGAGAGAGTGTGATATAGAGATACAGAGAAAGGGGCTGATGGGAGAGAGTTGGATATAGAGATACAGAGATGGGGCTGATGGGAGAGAGTGGGATATAGAGATACAGAGAAAGGGGCTGATGGGAGAGAGTGGGATATAGAGATACAGAGAAAGCAGCTGATGGGACAGTGGGATATAGAGATACAGAGAAAGGGGCTGATGGGACAGTGGGATATAGAGATACAGAGAAAGGGGCTGATGGGAGAGAGTGTGATATAGAGATACAGAGAAAGGGGCTGATGGGAGAGAGTTGGATATAGAGATACAGAGATGGGGCTGATGGGAGAGAGTGGGATATAGAGATACAGAGAAAGGGGCTGATGGGAGAGAGTTGGAAATAGAGATACAGAGATGGGGCTGATGGGAGAGAGTGGGATATAGAGATACAGAGAAAGGGGCTGATGGGACAGTGGGATATAGAGATACAGAGAAAGGGGCTGATGGGAGAGAGTGGGATATAGAGATACAGAGAAAGGGGCTGATGGGAGAGAGTGTGATATAGAGATACAGAGAAAGGGGCTGATGGGAGAGAGTTGGATATAGAGATACAGAGATGGGGCTGATGGGAGAGAGTGTGATATAGAGATACAGAGAAAGTGGCTGATGAGACAGTGGGATATAGAGATACAGAGAAAGCAGCTGATGGGACAGTGGGATATAGAGATACAGAGAGAGGGGCTGATGGGAGAGAGTGTGATATAGAGATACATAGAAAGGGGCTGATGGGAGAGAGTGTGATATAGAGATACAGAGAAAGTGGCTGATGGGACAGTGGGATATAGAGATACAGAGAAAGGGGCTGATGGGAGAGAGTGTGATATAGAGATACAGAGAAAGTGGCTGATGGGACAGTGGGATATAGAGATACAGAGAAAGTGGCTGATGGGACAGTGGGATATAGAGATACAGAGAAAGGGGCTGATGGGAGAGAGTGGGATATAGAGATACAGAGAAAGGGGCTGATGGGAGAGAGTTGGATATAGAGATACAGAGAAAGGGGCTGATGGGAGAGAGTGGGATATAGAGATACAGAGAAAGGGGCTGATGGGACAGTGGGATATAGAGATACAGAGAAAGGGGCTGATGGGAGAGAGTGTGATATAGAGATACAGAGAAAGTGGCTGATGGGACAGTGGGATATAGAGATACAGAGAAAGTGGCTGATGGGACAGTGGGATATAGAGATACAGAGAAAGTGGCTGATGGGACAGTGGGATATAGAGATACAGAGAAAGGGGCTGATGGGAGAGAGTGGGATATAGAGATACAGAGAAAGGGGCTGATGGGAGAGAGTGGGATATAGAGATACAGAGAAAGGGGCTGATGGGAGAGAGTGGGATATAGAGATACAGAGAAAGGGGCTGATGGGAGAGAGTGGGATATAGAGATACAGAGAAAGGGGCTGATGGGACAGAGTGGGATATAGAGATACAGAGAAAGGGGCTGATGGGAGAGAGTGGGATATAGAGATACAGAGAAAGGGGCTGATGGGACAGAGTGGGATATAGAGATACAGAGAAATGGGCTGATGGGAGAGAGTGTGATATAGAGATACAGAGAAAGGGGCTGATGGGAGAGAGTTGGATATAGAGATACAGAGAAAGGGGCCGTCTATACTACTTGACCTGTTCATAAACTATAATTCAGAAGATGAGCCCTTGGTCTGATTGTAGTTCTAGCCTAACACTAAACATATCACAAGAAAGTGTTGGTTAAGGACAGAGATGAAGGGGTCCTACACTAAATAAACTTTATGTTGGAGGTTGTCTCTCTATAGGTTTTTATGTACATTTAGTCTTGTACTGGATAAAAGTTTGGGAGGAAAACACTATATGACTTATAACCATTAGTGAAACTGTCAGCGTTTAGGCGGCAGTAACCTCATGCTTTGTCGTAAGCCCACACTGCATTATATGTTAACTGATTATAATAAATTGTCTTGGAATGTGAACCCCTCCTACTTTGGTAGGACTGACCAATTGTACCTGCTCTCCCTATTGCATGATTCATAAGAGGTGACTTAATTTTGGATCTAATCTTTTCTCCTCTTTGTAAAAAAAACTCACGACTCTGCCTGAATTTTGCCCTTTTAATTGAAAATTAAGGAAGACTTATGGTTCTGTCTGCTTGTTGAGACCTAACCAGAGTCTGTATAAATGGTTATTACTACTCATTGGTCGACACTCATAATTGTGGTATTGTAAAGACTGATTCACTTGTCAGTATTATGTCACTGTGTGGGGTGTCCTGTTGGAAGGCATACTTCAGTGGGGCAGCACTATAAAGTCCACATCAGTTAAGCACTATCAGAAGGAGGCTTATATAACCCTATTACAGCCTAATAAAACACACAAACTCAAATCATGCACTCACCTTTCCTACATACAGGGAGGCAGTTCTTAAATGATCATAGATACCGGTATCGATTGGCCACTTTACAATTGGAAATAAAATCAATTATTACTTCAAGTGTAAATTAGCATAAGTAGAAATAATTACATTGTGTTTGATGATTTTTAAAAAAAATATTCTTTTCCTGAAACTTTTATCAGAAATGTGAGTTTTGTTGTGACAATTTGAACCATTTGATATGAAAATTTTAATGTGCAGTAATCTCACTTACTTCTATTTGTTTCAGTGGTCGGTCCACAAACATCAAGAGAACTATAGAAAGTTTACGTTGTGTCATGGCTGGGATGTTTGGTGCTCAAAATCTTCGTAAAATTGGTAAATATTACGGCTGGTAATGATGAATTTGTAGATGTGAGTTTTGTGCTTTTTCAGCTGAGGACTTTATTATATCTTGTTATTGGGTAATGTAATACACCTTAGATTCCATTAGAATACCTCTATAACAAATGCATTTGCCACATTTTTCCTTTGTAAATTCATTTGTATATAATTGTGTATCAGTACACACATTTTCTAGACAATGTATTTCTTTATGGTTAAATATGTTTTTGAAATTGAAATAGATACTTTTTTCTTGATCAGTCAGTGTGTCCTGTATCATTCATTTTAAAGGCAGGGTAAGAGGTCAACGACCTTACATTAAAACTAGTTTATTCATTCTTCGCTATTTGCATGATTGCAAAAAACATATGATGGGGTCAAAGGTCAGAGTTAGCCATAGGGACTTTAATCAAACTTAAAGGATAGGGACATGCATCAAGAGTGAAGGTTAGAGAATGAGATTAAAAAAAAGGTCAAACAATGGAAATAGGGTCAAAGTTCAAGGTAAGAGAATGGGATCAAAGGTCAATGTTAGCCAATGAGGATATCAATTATCAAATATTATAGTCTTGACCTCTGAACTACTGAATCTTTCTTTATGGAAACTTTCATACATATAGGAAGGAGAGTTGTATTTTCGAACAATTTATGGTACCTCAACCATCGTAGATATTAGGTCAAGATTACAAAAGGCACAGTATGTCAGTCTATATTTTTATTTTTAAATGGCTGATTTCTTCTGTTTCAGCTCCTGTGAAAATTTATATATCTGCCTCTAAGAAAGAAGTTTTGTTTCCCAATCTTGCACAGTGTCATGTACTAGAACAGAACAATCACTCAGTATTGTTCCACATCGCAGATAAGCCTGAATACAAACCAAACAGACTTAAGTTAGAAAAAGTGTTTGGTAAGTTATATTGGTAAAGATGTAAACACTGTACAATATCCTTTAAACAAGTTATAAAAGTGTGACACAGAGTAATACGTCTGACAAGTAATAGTTTTACAAACTTGGATAATTTCATATAAAGAACATGTAATTAGTTCATGTCCAAAAATGCACATCTGAAAATTTCATATGAAGAAAAATAGACATACATTTGTAACTCATATGTATTGCCATACATTTTTAAGAATATTCACATTTAAAGCTATAACTGCATAGTTTCCAGAAACTCTTCTCTGTCAGAAGTCTTTTATGTTTTTTCTTGTCTCTGTTATAGACTTTTTTTAATATTTGTAGATTTGAATTTTCCTTGAATATGGTTTAAGTATTTGATTTTTAAAAAATAACTTTTTTTAACAAATGGTCACTGGCAGTTTGTATGCCAGAGCTGGTCTGAATATAGCTGGGAACTTACCCTGATGTAACAGTGTTATAGTTATGGTGTGTAATGTTTCTAGGGCTGCAATGATACACTATAAATCTGATACAAGGTGAATCACAGGTTTAACCTCAAATACCAAAATAAATAAACCGTTTCATGTTAAAAATAGAAAAGAAAAGTATTGGTAGCATTAACTATCTCTTTTCAGCAACAATGCTAAATGGTTATTATATTTTAAAGAAATAGGTTAGAGATATCGAAAATTGAATTTAATTGATGTTATTTTTTCATGACGAGTTACATCATAAATTGTTCACATAGTACAATAAAGCTTTAATATAACTGGCCCCACTTGTATAAAACATCTCAACTTGAGATTTCCTCAAGTCGAGATTTTCCTCAGCTGATATCTCCTCAAAAACGGCTTGTATAAAATTTTCTCAAGGAACAGGAGGAAGGCATCGTATAGGATGTCCTGAAATTCCTTGAAGAATTTTCATACAAGATATTTTCAAGGAGATATCAGCTGAGGAAAATCTCAAGTTGAGATGTTTTATACAAGTGGGGCCTGGTGTATTTGTTCTGATTTATTAGTTGTGTTGAGTAATATTCTGGCTTCTATTTTTTCAGGTGTGAATTTTAAAGATCATGTAGGATTAAGTTTTGTGGGAATTCGTGATGATTTAGTAGCACGAAAGGTGGGTGTAATTTCATTGTCATCATATATACATATTGTCTTAATCTTATTTAGGTTGTAGATCAAAAAGCTGACAGTGCAGGTTAAAAAAATTCCATTGTTGAGATAAAATGGGAAAAACAAATTTTTTGAATGCTTCCAAGACATCCCCCACAATATCTTCTAGTTGTTGTAAATAATGAAATGGCAGACAGGCTTTGTATGGAAACATATACAGGCATCCCAGGGTTTAAAAGGCCTACAACCTGTCTCATAGTTTATATGTACCTGACTTGTTATGTGTTGTCTCATATTGATTGTCTCCTGTTGTTTCGAGGCCCATGTTTTACGTGTAATTGACTTATATGTGGTCCTATATTGATTGTCTCCCCTTGTTTCCAGGCCCATAGTTCACTTGTACCTGACTATTATATGTAGTCCTATATTGATTGTCTCCCCTTGTTTCCAGACCCATAGTTCACCTGTACCTGACTATTATATGTAGTCCTATATTGATTGTCTCCCCTTGTTTCCAGACACATGGTTTTCCTGTACCCGACTTCGTCCTGCCTTTCTGGGATATGATAGAAGTCATGGCTAGCAAGATGATGTATGCTTCGTTTTGTGGGCAGCACAAGTATGTTTGTTTTTTTACTTTTTTCTTCTTATTCATTGATGGGTTCAATAAATAAAGTTTTACTTATTTTCAAGAATTACATATGTATAATACATGGTAAAATTCAGAGAGTACCTGAATGATTATTATGGTAATCACATTCTGTGTTACACAGTAATAAGCCATGTGATATTTATGTGTATTGATTCACACAATATAAACAACTGTCACATCAAGAAATGATGATATTGTGATGTCCTTAGCTCACTGAAAACATTATAACATTTTCATGGAGATGAGATCTACATATAATGTATAAACAAGTACATTTTCGGTAATAATCTTTATCTCGAAAAACACGATCTTATGTCTGTTTCCATTTCATATGAGAATTACGAAAGTCATCACGTTATTTTCCCCAAAGCTGCCAAAACTGAAAAATTTGTTCTATAAATCTCCAGAAAATTAAGTCTTACATTAGGTCCCATATTCATATACTGTGTAGCGCTTACGACTAAGAGGCATGATGCTGTAGAATGATGAAAGCAAGACACCTCTCCTTATTTATCCCATTACGGCACCTTTGATCTCAAGATGTCTAGCTCTTACTCAAAGTGTCTAATACTGATGTTATTTTAGGTGTCATTAGGCGCTATTGTTATAGCGACACCCGACTTCAACGGGCACGGCCTTTATATTTACTTGACTGTAACTGTTTTCATAAAGCGCGTGTTATACTCGTCCAGTGACCACGCTGATCAATTAGCCACCTTTGTTTCACATTCGCACTATTCTTACACTACGAAAACATACCAGGTATTATAGCCAGGGTAGTTTATACCTTTAATTATGGTAACCTGGCCACCCGTCAATGTGCTTGTGTATACACAGATGTACACGCATGACTGCGTCGATGAACATCGGCAGACGACTTTCTGGGTTAATGTATTCATACAAAACTTGACTGTTTTTTTTTTTATGATGCAACAATCTTACAAACACCGGCACAATACAAAACAAGACTGTATTTTTATTCATATGATGCAACAAACACGACAGAAATTCTATGAGAAGTCTTTCAATCATCGACAGAATAACAGTTCAGTTTGCTCAGTTCATTCTCCCGATCGGTAAGTCTTCCGACCGGGACAGGTCGGCTGAGGTCAAAAATGGGGGTGGGCTTAATACCGGACATCCCCCCCTGTGCATAGGAGTTGGCAGAGAGGGGGAGTGGGCTTATTACCGAGCATGGGCTTATTGCCGGAGAAATACGGTATATATATTACATATGTCACAGAGCAGAGAGTTCCTTGATAATGAGTTTTGTGTTACAGAGCAGAGCGTCCTACCATCATGAAACTGTCCACAGGGCCATTGATGACCATGGTGCTGGATAATATACAGGACATGGAAGAAAATAAAAGGTGAACACAACATCTGGTTAACAAATTTACAGATCTCCCTCATTAAAGGTTAACACAACATCTTGTTAACAAATTTACAGATCTCCCTCATTAAAGGTTAACACAACATCTGGTTAACAAATCTACAGATCTCCCTCATTAAAGGTTAACACAACATCTGGTTAACAAATTTACAGATCTCCCTCATTAAAGGTTAACACAACATCTTGTTAACAAATTTACAGATCTCCCTCATTAAAGGTTAACACAACATCTTGTTAACAAATTTACAGATCTCCCTCATTAAAGGTTAACACAACATCTTGTTAACAAATATACAGATCTCCTTCATTAAAGGTTAACACAACAACTGGTTAACAAATATACAAATCTCATTCATGAATAGTTTACGCAACATTTGGATAAAATCCCTGTTGACAGGGATGCTAAATATGTAGTATTTGTGTTTACAGCGATACTAAATACTTATTCTACTATTTCTGTTGACAGGTATACTAAATATCACTCTACTATTTCTGTTGACCAGATACTAAATATTACTCTACTATTTCTGTTGACCAGATACTAAATATTACTCTACTATTTCTGTTGACAGGGATACTAATAAGTACTTATACTGCTATTTCCTGTTGACAGGGATACTAAATATTATTCTACTATTTTCTGTTGACAGGGATACTTGGCACTTATTCTACTATTTCCTGTTTACAGAGATACTAAATACTTATACTGTTATTTCCTGTTAACAGGGACACTAAATACTTATTCTACTATTTCCTGTTTACAGGGATAATAAATACTTATTCTACTATTTCCTGTTTCCTGTTGACCAGATACTAAATACTTATTCTACTATTTCCTGTTTCCTGTTGACCAGATACTAAATACTTATTCTACTATTTTCTGTTGACCAGATACTAAATACTTACTCTACTATTTCCTGTTGACCAGATACTAAATACTTACTCTACTATTTCCTGTTGACCAGATACTAAATACTTATTCTACTATTTCCTGTTTACAGGGATACTAAATACTTATTCTACTATTTTCTGTTGACAAGGATACTAAATACTCTACTATTTCCTGTTGACCAGATACTAAATATTACTCTACTATTTCTGTTGACAGGGATACTAAATACTAATTACACTATTTCCTGTTGACCAGATACTAAATATTACTCTACTGTTTCTGTTGACAGGGATACTAAATACTAATTACACTATTTCCTGTTGACCAGATACTAAATATTACTCTACTATTTGTGTTGACAGGGATGCTAAGAAACTGTTCCTGTTTGCTACGCATGACTCTACTATGGTCGGAATTCTAGGACTTCTGGATATATGGGATAATGAATGGCCGCCGTTCTCAGTTGACATTAGATTTGAATTATATGAAAATCAAAACAAAGAAAAGTTTATACAAGTGATTTATAAAGGAAAGGTAAGAGATGTAGTTTATACAAGTGATTTATAAAGGAAAGGTGAGAGATGTAGTTTATACAAGTGATTTATAAAGGAAAGGTGAGAGATGTAGTTTATACAAGTGATTTATAAAGGAAAGGTGAGAGATGTAGTTTATACAAGTGATTTATAAAGGAGAGGTAAGAGATGTAGTTTATACAAGTGATTTATAAAGGAAAGGTGAGAGATGTAGTTTATACAAGTGATTTATAAAGGAAAGGTGAGAGATGTAGTTTATACAAGTGATTTATAAAGGAAAGGTAAGATATGTAGTATAATATTGTGTTTGTTATAAACAGTGTTAAAAAACTAATGTAAAATTGTGAAATTCTGGAATCAACTGATATCTCATTTCCATTTTGGTAAAATTCTAAATAATTGTTTGAGAGCAAAAACAATCAAAATGATGAAAAGGATGTTATCAAAATACATGCAGATATGATGACTACACAGTATTACTGATCAGAATTTAAGACTTGGTGCATAGGATGTGATGAGCCATTCACCGTTAAACATTTTTTATTGGACTGCATTGACCTTCTATCTATTCAAGAATGTTTTTACTGTAACATTACATGTCTAAAATCCCTTTTTGGAACTGTTGAGATTAACATTTGTCTTTTACCTTTTGGTTTGTTTACTGTTATTTCCTTTTGGATCGTTGTGTTTTACCGTTTGATGACCCTAATGACCTTTTATGTGTTGACGGGCCGATAAGAATGTAATAAAAATAATAATAATATTAATAATTCTAAATAACAGATATAATTACTACACAATAAAATTGATAACAATTTCTAAATAAGTTGACGATCGTTTTAAAGGCACTGTTATCTTTGATGTTTGAAGTCCTAGTGTCAGCTATATGACTGATGTAGGTGAATGGAGTATGTTGTTATGGTTCTTCAATCTTATGTTATTGATTCATCGCACCATCTGTCCTATAATAAGCCCATGTCTGGTAATAATCTTCATCCATATATGTCTCTCTGTTCAGTAGAATCACAAAACAATGCTCTTTCATTGTCCTGTAATAAGTCCGCCTGTTGACTTTGACTCAGAATTTCTAGCTCACTGTGATTGTTGGCTATTCAAACCACTCCACATCCATGTCTGTCCAACAGTAAGCAGTAATTGTTATTTCTCAGAAAGGACTGAAGGGATCTTGGTCCCAAGTTGTGCTCATATTTGATTTTTGGACTGATCGTAAAACAAAATGGCAGACAGGAAGCCATCTTGAATTTTAACAAATATTGCTATTTTTTGAGAAGCATGTGTTTTCTAAAATTTTGTAAGTAGGTTAAACTTCGTAATTAGTTGTGTCCTTTTCATTTTGGGACTGATAAGTGGGGGGAAATTGGCAAAGGGCAAGAGCGAAACAGAGTCAAAAATATGGAAGAAGGGAAACAATCTTTAAAAAAAATATATCAAGACCAAAAATTTCAGATGCAAGATACCATTGGAAAGTGGATCATTTTTCACGTCAATCCCCGGTTTATTGAAAGGTTAAGACATTAGTTATATATAAGTGTTGGTGATAGACAACATATCATTTACAATTGTTTGTTTCGTCTTTCAGGCAAGGAAAGTGCGAGGCTGTGACTCAACATTGTGTTCATTAGAACAGTTCAGAAAAGCCATGAAGCCGTACATGATTCGTGAGAAAGAGTTTCTTTCCATCTGTAACTCTGATATATTAGAACAGATAGACAAAGGTAGGTAGAACCTCATCACACAAACATATAAAGTACACAGGAACAATTACCCAGAAATACACAGGAACAATTACCCAGAAATACACAGGAACAATAACCCAGAAATACACAGGAACAATTACCCAGAAATATACTGGAACAATTACCCAGAAATATACTGGAACAATTACCCAGAAATATACTGGAACAATTACCCAGAAATATACTGGAACAATTACCCAGAAATATACTGGAACAATTACCCAGAAATATACTGGAACAATTACCCAGAAATATACTGGAACAATAACACAGAAATATACTGGAACAATTACCCAGAAATACACAGGAACAATTACCCAGAAATATACTGGAACAATTACCCAGAAATACACAGGAACAATTACCCAGAAATATACTGGAACAATTACCCAGAAATATACTGGAACAATTACCCAGAAATACACAGGAACAATTACCCAGAAATATACTGGAACAATTGCCCAGAAATAACAGGAACAATTACCCAGAAATACACAGGAACAATTACCCAGAAATACACAGGAACAATTACCCAGAAATACACAGGAACAATTACCCAGAAATATACTGGAACAATTACCCAGAAATATACTGGAACAATTACCCAGAAATACACAGGAACAATTACCCAGAAATACACAGGAACAATTACCCAGAAATACACAGGAACAATTACCCAGAAATATACTGGAACAATTACCCAGAAATACACAGGAACAATTACCCAGAAATACACAGGAACAATAACACAGAAATACACAGGAACAATTACCCAGAAATACACAGGAACAATAACACAGAAATACACTAGAACAATTACCTAGGGATATACTGAAACAATTACCCATAACTCTTTTTCTCCCTTTTTTTACCCTTATCACGAATGCTAATTTCTGTCCAGCAGGAAATTTTCACGCTTAGGACAGTCTGATGATGTGATTTAGTTTTAAGACATGACAGTGGTGTAATGACACCTGTGACCAACAATTTTAATGACATGGATAGATTACAGAACTAGAGCATCTATAGGATAAACACTTCTATATATATTAGCAACAACCATTACTTGAGATTGAGTGAGACTTTCACAAATATATACTTTTGTTACAGTTTCAAAACAGAATCTTACATTCCATTTCATACCTGAAACATATCACAGATGCTTTGTTAATTGAAAATTCTAGAATTCATCTTTTTTTAAATGTTACTCATGTAATAGCCCATATGTCTGCATGAATAACAGAGTTGGATGTGTTAGATCATCTGACCACATGCTTATTCCATCATCGTCCACCGTCCCCTTTTGCGCCATCTACTGTACATAAACTTTTGATATTTCAAACTTCTCCAGTTTCACCAGTGGGATTGAACTCCAACTTGCATGACATGATCTTGAGGTGGTTCTTGACCAAGTGTTGTAATTTTTTCGGGTTTGTCTGAAATCCAAGATGGCCACCTTCTTGGAAAAACATATTTTAAACTTCTTCTCCAGTTCTACTGGTGCCATTGATCTAAAACTTGGTGGGAATGTTAAGGATAGGTAGCCAACAAAGTGTTGTTATTTTTCAACCTTTTCAAAAACTTCAATAAGGCAGTCAGGGAGGCCATTTTGTAACATGATTGTGCAATCATGGTTTTCCTGTGCAATACCTATTTCAAACTTCTTTTCAAGTTTCACCAGTTGGATTGAGCTCCAACTTTGCTGTCAAACGATAGGTAACATTTGTTACAGTTACCTACTCCTTACTAAAACTACCACCTGCATCATGGAAAACAGCTTCTTTGTAAGATTTCATTCAAAGTAGAAAAAATACCAACCCTTCTCCTTAATGAAAGTTTTTGTAGTCAGATGACCGTTGACCGTTGACCGTTAAGGCCTGTGGGCCTCTTGTTGAGAATGAGTTGATGCAATATCTAAATAGGGTATACATTGAAATATAAGTATACTGTCATTCCAAGGAAATGTGTTGGGAAGCATGAGGGAGCTAAGCATTGTAAAATCATTTTTTTTCATGGGGCTGAAATCTTGAGGTTTTAAAAAACTGTACCTTTTCATTGGGGCTTGATTTTATTGATAATTCTTGCTCACAAAATCCAACAGTACAGTTCAATAATACATATCAGCTTATAACTGTTTGTCATTTCATGGATGTATGGATTTGTTGATTTAGAGTACCAAAGAAGTCAATGAATTTAAACATCACTGTGTCAGAATATATGTAGATATTTATCATGGTTCCCTCATACTGTATGCTTTAATAACAGTGGAATATTTGTGAACATTTCTATTCATGTGTTAAACCTAAATTATCATTTGATTAATTATATTTAAGTAAAAATTGAAATTTTAGATTTAAAAGAAAGTTAACATTACTATTTCTAGTTTTTGATGATGAAATTTCTTGACTTTTTGTCAATCGCAGAAATCAAAGAAGAAGAAAAAGGCGAAATCCAGACAGAAGAAGTTCGGGAACAATCAGAGACTCCAGCAGGAATGTGACCACTGGATGGCTAGAGAATATTTTCAATTTGTCTTTCATTAGAGATTAGAGACATGTCTGGTCATTGAATCTGTCTTTGGTGTGTCCTGGAACGTTTACAGAGAATTCAGGACCAACAACTCTTTATATCTAGTCACATTGTACACTCGTGAATTGTCACACCAATCATCCAATTATGTAGCTGATGTTCATTCTTTTAAACTTTTTATTACAAATTCACTTTAGAGTTTCTGTTGGTATTCTTGGGAGATTTAATTTCGCTATATTCATGGTCATCAAAGATATTTCAAAATCAAATCCCAGCAAACATATAACAGAGAATCAAAATTATGATAAATTCTATGTTATATGACTGTAAACTTGGATACCAACAGAAAAAAATGCACAAAATTTTATCCCATTTGAACAACCACAAGCAACATGACTGTGAAATATTAGACCTGTGATATTAATCAACTATACAGTATTTGTAATGAGGTTTGTGTATCGCTGTGAAAAATTTCACTTAAACTGATAAAATTACTTATTGTCAAGCAATGTTTTCATATTTTGATCATTTGAGGAAAGAGTTATCAAACATGTTTTTATTTCTTAAGTCTATTTCAGTAAACAGCCAGGAATTTTGGGTTTGTGTACGGGTACCAACGATAACATTCAGTTATTTACTTACATGCGTTTGGCAGGAAATTGAACCATATATACATGCCCAATTTAGAAGTGATTTACTATGGAGTCCTCAGGTCGAGTAGATGTTTTACTGTAATAGCCTTCAGTAGATATCTGATCTATTTTTCAGCTCAAAATGATGAATTTTTAGACTTTTTGCAGAACTCCTTTATCAAATTGAAACTCCTGTAATATTTCAAATCAATTTTATTATTTTTATTCTATTCAGTGTGATCTTTGACATATGTGTTTGAGAAAATTTTGAACAAATAGACACAATTATAAAATCACAATAATTTCTTTATTAAAAGTATAAAGACTAATATTATTGCAATGACATTTCAGTGCAGTGTCTAAACAATGAAATATTTGCAGCATGGAAAGTACAAACATAAGAGTTTCATGGGGAAAATTCAGTTTAGCTGGTTTCAACCATGGAAAATAATTATAATTGATCTAGTTAATTTCACAGGGGAAGGATATTACAAAGAACTGGCTTTTTACACCAACTTGTAGTGCTAAGTAATCAAGGATATGGTCCAACAGCTGACATCAATTAAATTAGATTTTTTGAAAGATCATGGGATGTTTGTCAGTATTGTCATGCCATGTTAAATCTAAGTGTTTTTTTTGTGTTGTGAAATGGATTGTGCAGTAGATATTTTTGAATGTCAGATGTTAACATTATTGATGTAAAATTGAGAAAATATGTACCGGTATTTAATTCATTTCCGTCCCGAAATATTTTTTCTCCTGAAGGATGTCGTAGAACACGTAACGTCTGACTCCGAGTCAGATGGCGGGCTTATTACACGACAATGAATACTACCTATCTGAAACCCTAGTTCTACTGTAAAATCATAATTTTGTTCAATTTGATCTCATTTAGCAGTATTCTGTTTTTTTGTGCAGTATGAAGCCGGACATGTTTGATGCTCGTTAGTTTGCCTGTTGGTTTTATTGTTGTATACCTTGTTCTCATTTGAGAACATGACATTACTTACTTGGATTGATCAAGGATTACATGGCAATAGTCGTCAATGAAGCAGAAGATGTTAATTTTACAGAACACATATCATTCTCCTTGTACTTTTGCAGGAGTCTCTTTGTAAATGTTTCTGTCGTTCATATTTTGCTCAAATTTTACAGAATTTGAATTATGATTATGTTGCCATGTTGTTTTTTCTTAATTTTTTTCAATGTTTTTAAAACAAAACGAAACATTTCTACAGGGCACTTTAATTATTTAATTTAATGATTAATCAATAAGTCTACACATACTTTTTTTTTCTCTCTAATTTTTTATTTCCATTAGCAATTCATACAGTACAATGTATTACAGATATTTGTATTTCCCATTCACAACACTTGTCTTTATCATAATACCTATTACACATAATATTTCAGTACCTGGTACAGAAATATGATTTATATATATATATATATATTCATATATCATTACTTCAGGGCACATGTGTAAAAACACATTTAATTTGCTCTGAAACAGAATCAGCACCTAGGATATAACATAGTTGACAAACATTTATAACTGTATTTTTAATGCATGTAACAACTGATAGAATCTGAAATCTTCTCTATTTGTCCTTATTATCATATCTATTCTGTCTCTCAACTCATTTCTTATCTTACCAATTAGAGATAGTGGATTTTGTATTTCATTTTCAAATTTCTTTGAATTTCTGGCCTTCCAGATTAACCACTTAGAATGAAAAATTACAATGTTACAGAGTTTGTTGATGTTCTCTGGATATTCTGATATACCAAAAATCCTTTCTTTATCAGTAAAAACAATATACTGATAATCTACTGAAACATTAAAGACACACTCATTCAATAACCTTTCAATTTGTAGCCATACCTCTTCACTCAATCTGCACTCACTAAAAAGATGTTGTTGTGTTTCTTGTTCTTCCTTACAAAAATTACAAAGACCATTTGATTTCTTCATTTCTTTCAATTTGTGTTCAGTGGTTATAATTCTGTGTATACTTCTCCACTGAAAATCTTTTACTTTTTTTTCTAGTCTACTGCTGTTTAATGAATGCCAAACTGCTTTCCACTCTAGATTGTAGTCTGTATCCCATTTCTGAATAGATTTTATCTGATTTGCTGTTTGAAACAATACATTTTTAATAGCTTTATTAAATAGTTTATTTAGTGCCAGCAAATTTTTACCATAAATGAAATATAAATCTTCTGTAATTTTGAATTTAGCTCTATTGTTTCCATTGTTATTTTGTAGCATATTTTTCCATTCCAAAGAGAAGGCTTTTCTTATAGTTGTATACTCTGATATCCAATTTTTCTTTAATCTTAATTTTCTAAGTAATTCTCCTGATGTAATAAAGTCATGCTGTTCCGTATCCCAAATATCTTGAACCTTGGTAATCCCACTACTTGCCCACCCTTTATAAAATATAGGACTGTTTTTAAAAGTCTACACATACTAATGGAAATTTAAATTTGTGGATTAAAAGTCCTCACTATATTGGTAGTTTTAGATGATTCTCTCTCTCACAACATTGTTCAAGCTTGGTAGACAATAATGCATTGACAGTTTTATGTTCCACACTTTTTTAAGAAAAAGAGGGATATTAATTAGGATCTGTCTGTCTAGCCATCCATCCATTTTCTGTCTGTCCATTCTGCTTAAGTTCCAGTGCAATAACTGCTAAAGGTGAACAGATTGTGGATTTCAGTTGTATTATACTACCCTTCAGTCTGAGCTCAAAAATGAGGTTGATATCTATAAATAATTTACTTTTACAACACCACTTCTGATTGGCTATTGGCTTTAGCTATTAGGTGTGCAATCTTAGCTAATTGTCAATGGATTTGAAACCAATTTGGTTTACAGAATTTCTGGTGCAGTTTACAATCCAAAAGCCTAACTTTAGCAGCCCAACAAATTAACTATTGAAAGATGGGGATATAAATTCTGTGAATTTGCTTCATCATTCAGAATTTTACTGCAACTGAACATTGTGAATTTTTCTTAGACTCAGAAGATATTCCAATGCTTTCCTAATTTGGGGAAAATAAACTTTCTAGTTGTGGGAAACATTTTTTCTTCCATTGTAAAATGTACATTTTCTTTCTTTTATTTTATCGGCGAGATTGTTATAACATTTCTGTTTTTGATTTTGCACTCTTCATCAAGATAATATATCATTTATACATTGGAAGTCAATAGTTTCACAATGGGGCATTTTTCTCTCCATCTGATTGACTTTTAACATTGCTTCAGAAGTGCCACATGGTAAAAGTCACATATGCCTGGGAATCTATACAACTTCCAGATACAAGAAGGGCATTGGCATATCATTTCACCATCATAATTATGGAATAAAAGGGAAGGGGTGGATTGTTTTGTGTTGTGTTTGGTCTCTGTCACTCAACTGTCAGAGCTTACATCTTTGGCTCAGCTGGTAGAGCATAGGACTTGTGGGTTTTCTTCCTGTCAGGGCACTCAATAGGAATGTGTTTTTCGTGATTAATGGTAAGGCTTTGCTGGAGATGATATTTTGATTCCAATTGGGGTTTTCAACAGGAAATTGTTTTTCTTCCCTGTCAGCATTTAGGTCTGCACATTATAATGTTTCCAATATTTTTTCCTTCTAGTTACAGTCTGGATTGTAACTTCACTTCCTTGGAATTTTTATAATATACAAACATCAATCACATATATCTTTTTCCTTTTGTCTACAGGGTTCAAAGGTCAAAATTACTATTTCTAGGAAATCATCACAATTAATTCAGGGACATTATTTCTTGTAGATTTTTTTAAAGATCTTTTCATGAAGTTCAAGTTTAAAATTTCCTCTGAGTTTGTATATTAGGGGTCCAAGGTCACAGTCTCTATCACTATTATAATATATTTGTCAAATAGTGATTATCAGTTTTAATGGGATCTGGAAAACATATGTTTGAGTTATTTTCTAGTTTTACAACTTGTTATACATATCTAAATGTAAATGTATACAAACCTCAGATATCTGTATAGAAGTATACGTACCTCAGATATCTGGTGTAGAAGTATACGTACCTCAGATATCTGGTGTAGAAGTATACATACCTCAGATATCTGGTGTAGAAGTATACATACCTCAGATATCTGGTGTAGAAGTATACATACCTCAGATATCTGTATAGAAGTACACAAACCTCAGATATCTGGTGTAGAAGTACACAAACCTCAGATATCTGGTGTAGAAGTATACATACCTCAGATATCTGGTGTAGAAGTATACATACCTCAGATATCTGGTGTAGAAGTACACAAACCTCAGATATCTGTATAGAAGTAAACATACCTCAGATATCTGTATAGAAGTATACAAACCTCAGATATCTGTATAGAAGTATACATACCTCAGATATCTGGTGTTGAAGTATACATACCTCAGATATCTGTATAGAAGTATACATACCTCGGATATCTGTATAGAAGTATACATACCTCAGATATCTGGTGTAGAAGTATATATACCTCAGATATCTGGTGTAGAAGTATACATACCTCAGATATCTGGTGTAGAAGTATACATACCTCA